CTCCCGACCTCAGGTGATCCGCCCGCCTTGGCCTCCAAAGTGCTTGGATTACAGGCGTGAGCCATCACGCCCGGCCTAGCTGTGACATTTCTTTAAGGATCTGTGAGGCTTGCAGTCTTAAGACAGTCTTCTGTTTTTTTAGGGTAAACAGTTGAACTTCTCTGTCCTTTCTGCTGTGTGTTCGGTTTCCTCTCGAGTCTGTTGCTTGTCCAGAGATCACAGGTTGGCTTCCCGTTTGGTTTTGAGGTGGGATCTCTCCCTGTCACCCAGGCTGGAGTACAGTGGTGGGATCGCTGCTCACTTCTGCCTCGACCTCCCGGGCTCAAGCAGCCCTCCCGCCTCGGCCTCCCAGAGTGCTGGGATTATAGGCTTGAGCCACTGTGCCCAGTCCCGGGCTGGTTTCTGACCTTGTTTTGAGGGGCAGGCTCTCTGGTCCCCACACCCGGAAGCAGGTGTGGGATGGGGTTGTCTGTTCTCTCTGCAAAGCGGGGCTTGTTTCTCTGAGTTGTTACTTACGTCTATGAGCCACGCCCACTCTTGGGGTAAGCTCTGCCCTCCACGGAAACCCCAGGGCCCTGGGGGAGCGGGTTGCGAGGGGTCCCTGGTTCTGGGGGAGGGAGTTGCCTGTGTTCCCTGCCCAGCCTTGTTGCCTGCCCAAGGTCATGTCTGGCCACTTTCAGGGCTCGGGACCCCCACTTTTGGGTGGTGTGTGGTTCCAGTCCCTCTCTCTTCAGCCTTGGGGGTGTCTGCTCAGGGGTAGGCCACGGGGCCCTGCTTTCCTGCCTGCGACCCCCAGACACTAGGGGCAGATGGAGGAGGGCTCCTGCAGGGTCTCCTCAGCCGTCCGCAGGGAAGGGCTCTGCGCTGCCCCAGACACGTTTTCTCCCCACTGCTGGCCCTCTCAGAATGCTGGGTGCGTGTCCACGGCCTGCGGCCCCTGAGCAAGGAAACGAAGCGAGAGGATGGACCCAAAGCGGCTGCAGGGCGGGGCTGGGCCGCGGCGCGTGCTGGCCCGTCTCCTTCTCCCACAGCTTGAACTTACGTGAGGTGGATGCCCTGCTGGTGGCTCGCGCCTGTGATCCCACACTTCCGGAGAGGGCGGGGTGGGGAGATCGCTTGAGGCCAGCCTGGGCAACGTAGGGAGACCCCACTGGTACAAAAAAATTCAAAAAATTCACCAGGCACGGTGGCTCATGCCTGTAATCTCGGCACTTGGGGAGTCCGAGGCGGACGGATCACCTGAGGTCCGGGGTTCGAGACTAGCCTGGCCAACACGTATGGAACTCCCTCTCTGCTAAAAATACAAAAATGAGCTGGGCGTGGTGGCGGGCGCCTATAGTCGAAGCTACTTGGGAGGCTGAGGTGGGAAAACCACTGAACCCAGGAGGCAGGTGCTGCACTGAGCCAAGATCACAACACCGCACTCCAGCCTGAGCGACAGCGCGAGACCCTGTCTCAAAATAATAATTTTTTTGAATGCTGCCCTACCCAAGGAAAAGCCACCCCTAAATTCAAACCTCTGTCTGATCTCGCCCCTCAGCAACCCCCAGGGGACTGGGAATGGGCCTGCAGAGCATCACAAGCCACAGGGGCCAGACCCCAGGCAGGGCAGTGGGACAGGCTCACGTCGGCATCCTTCAAGATTTTAATAGCAAGGAGAAAGAGACGGTAGCCGCAGGCCTGGGCGGCGTCGTGACCCCGTATCTGGCGGCCGCCTTCCACGCCCCAGTGAATGGAGCCTGCATGAGCAGCGCGTGTGGTGGCTGTTGAGGCGTTACTTGGTCCTTAGGTGCGATCGTGGTAGTTGGTGGTGGTTGCTGTTACTTTTTTTGCTGTTGAGGACTGGGTGGTTCAGTGCATTTTTTAATGTAATTTTTAATCTGCTTTAAAAAATGCTGGCCACGTTTCCAGCAGTTGGTAGTGTGGCTCCCGTGTTGGACAGCAGAGGTGGAGAACATTTTTATCTTCCCAAGTTTTCTTGGGAGCACAGGCTGGGAAGGGGCTCAGGCGGGGGCATGGGTGGGGGTCACCTGGTGCGTGGGGGAAGAGGAGAGTGCTGAGGTCAGGGAGGAGTTGGGTCTTTACCCTGAGGGCGGTGGGGAGCCATGGGAGAGGCTAGAAGGAGGGAGAAGAGCTGAGTTTTGCTTCTGAAGGCTCCATCAGGCTGCCTGAGGATGTCGGCGGACTTGGAGGAAGACTTGGGCCGTGGCAGAGCTGCTGTTCCTTTGGGAGGAGGGAAGGTGACAGGAGGACCCCTGAACTATAGCCTGAGCACCTGAGTGGGGTGTGCGTTGCAGAGCTGGGGCTACAGGATGAAGTCCCCAGGACCCTCTGAAGCCAGGCCACCTGGTGTGCCTGAGGGTTTGGGGCAGGGGCAGCCATAGGGCTGTGCTCAGGGCCCGTGTCCACCAAGGGTTTTGCCTGCCCGGCGTGGTGACCCCACTCCTGGTACCGAAGTCGGTTGATTGGGTTTCTTGCGCAAAGTACCTGAAGCCACTTGGGCAGTATTCTTCTGTATCAAGGTCAGCCAGCCTTCTCCAGAAAGGAGCAGGGAGTTAATATTTCGGGCTGTGCAGGACGGGTGGTCTCTCTTGCAATTTTGGACTCTGCTGTTGTAGCAGAAGCAGCCGCAGGTAGTGCATGGACAAACAGGTGCAGCTCATGCCCGTAGAACTGGGTTTGAGAAGCAGGCTGGGGTCTGGACTTGGTTCGTGTGTACTGTTTGCTGTTCCCTTCGGTCCCACCTGGTATTCACTGAACGCCTTTTGAAGCCCCCTCTCCCATTTGCCATCGAGCCACCAGGCCAGGATCAGCCCCCAGTCCCTCTCAGGAGGGGACCCGGTGGAGGCCGGGGCTGGGAAGTCACTGGCACTGAGCGTTCCCTGGCCACTGACGGCCTCTCTGAGACAGTGTCTTCCCTTGTTACCCTCACAGCAGCCCAGGCAGGTGGGTGGCTTCCACACCCCTGTCCCTGGAATTGGATACGAAGCCTGGGGGGTGGGCAGCTCCTAGGCCTGCTCCCGAGCCCCCTGGCCCGTCCGCTTGCAGGCCTCTCCCGAGGCGGCCCAGCTGGCCCAGGCAGGAAGGCGTCCTTCCCACAGGGGCCCACTCGGCCGTGCTGCACCCAGGAAATCACAGAAAAGCACTCTGACAGCAGCGCCTTATTCTATTAGTACATTTTAATTAAAACAAGCAAGGGATGCGTTATGAATATTCATGTCGGGTTATTAAAATGCGTAATCGGCGGGGGGACTTTAATAACTGTATTAATGTGGGGGCTGCCCCTGTTTTTGTCATTTCTAGAAGGAGGAGGCCGAGGGCTGGGCGAGGGAGGGTTCCCCGAAAGGACAGATGGAGGCCGGGTTGCCTCTGCAGCAGCCTGTTGGAGTGATCCCCAGGGGCGATCCCTGGGTGTGGGGCCTCAGGCGGCCCCCCGCATGCCAGGTCTTCTAGGGGGTGAGGGCTGGGGTGCCAGGAGTGTTCTATTAGCTCGGGTGGGGGTCTCTGCACCTCCTGGGGCACCTTGAGCATGGGTGAGCTTGTCTCCGGTGGGGCTATGGCTGGAGGGGACCAGACAACAGGTGGGTGTGTAGAGGGGAAACTGAGGCCCAGAGGTGCTGGCACTGTGCCCATCCTCGCTAAGCAGCCCACCCTGGCCTCGGCAGCTGCCCTGTTTGCCGGGGCACACGTGTGGGACCAGGATCTTGGGGTGCGGATGCCCCAGACCTGGCAGCTAGTGCTGTGCGGATTCCTGGAGACCTCAGGAGCCCCCTGCCGGGCCCCCCAGCCAGCCAAGGCCACATCCCAGCCCCCCACTCATAATCACATTGGAAAGTTTTGATTAGAAAACAAAATCTAAATGAGGCACATGAATATTCATTAGGTGGGGAGATTAATATGCATAATTATGTAAATTAGACAGCAATTAAACACCAATACTTCCCGAGGGAAATGAGTAACACAAAGGCACTGAAATAGAAAGATGCAATTTGAAAGAAGTTTCTGGTGCAGGCGAGCTGGGCGGGCGGAGGAGCCGGGCTGGGTTCAGCAGCCTGCAGCGTGGAGTCAGCGTGGGGGAGGACAGCCTGAGCTTCTGCCTGTCACAGACATCGTGCTGGGCTGGGTCCCCTGTCCTGGCTCTCGGGAGACCTCTGGACTTGAGAGTTGGACATGGGCACCTCCAGCCTTCAGAAGTATGGCCTGTTTGTAATTCCGTTTATTATGGAGAGGGAAACGGAGGCAGGGCCGCGACCCCATGGCCAAGCTGAGGCGCCCCAGGGCCGCCAATCCTGTTTCTCCAAGGGTGTGCTTTGTGGCCCTCCATGGATGGGGGAAGGGTCCGAACAGGCCTGCCCTGCCCAGGGCAGAAGATTCCGGAGTCCTGGGCGGTTGCCTGTGAGTGTTCTGAGCGATAAGGGCCCCGCCCGGCCCCACCCCACCCGGGGACCAAGGTCCTCGTCCCAGCCTGAGCTGCGGGCCTCTGGTCTCTGCATGGGGTTTGTTCCTGGGTGACGCGATTCGGCTCCACCTTCTCGGGCTGCCAGCCTCCCGCGCAGTGGGTTGGCCTCTGCCGCAGCTTCAGCACAGGGCGGCCCCGCCTCCCACACTGGCAGGTGGGGACAGGGAGACCCCCTGTCCTCCCCTGGAGCCTGTTGTTCACTCCCACACCCTCAGGCTCTTGAGAAGAGTCCACCTGACAGAGCCCCTGGCCTACATGTTCAGGGCTGGGCCAGAGGGACGCACTTAGGGCTGAGGGGGGGAGGCTTGGCATGAGAGCGAGGGCTCTGCCCAAGGAGGCCATGGTGGCTGGGGCTTCAGTGGGTGGGTAGGAGTTTGCCAGCAGAGAGCTGATGGAAGAATTACTTAAGTGTGTGAACCTGAGAGTCCCAGGGTGTCGGTGTCACCTGCTGACTGGTGTCCCTGTGAGTCAGGCTGGGTGAGGCTGGGTTAGGAAGCGTTCCACATACCCCCCTGGATCCACTGAGACTTGGCCCCGAGACCCTGGGAACCCAGCCTGCCTTTAGAGCGGGGCCGGTGTGAGGGTGACCGTAACTCTCTCTTCCTGCCTGCAGGTCTTGAGGATCGGCCCAGCTCAGGCTCCTGGGGCAGCGGCGACCAGAACAGCTCCTCCTTTGACCCCAGCCGGGTAGGAGCCCCCATAAGACCTCAGATCCTGAGTTTCCTATTCCCAGAGTAGGGGGATGTGTGGGGAACTGAGGCTGAGAGAAGGGGCCAGCCTTCCAGGGTTCGGACTGGGAGACGTAGGTTCGAGTCCTCCTGTCCAGCCCTAATGCGGGGTGGGGGGCCTGTGCAGCCCAGCACATCTCATCCCCGCCCTCCCCCGCAGACCTTCAGCGAGGGCGCCCACTTCACCGACTCACACAGCAGCCTCTCTTCGTCCACATTCCTGGGACCAGGACTCGGAGGTGAGTGTCCGCCTGGCGCGGTCCCTCTGCCGCGCACGGATGTGCAGACGTCGGCGTGGGCAGTGCACGCACAGCAGCAGGCGTCCGCAGCGTTCACCCAGAGGGTGTGGGCAGCCGAAGCCTCTGCCCGTCCTGGGAGCCGGGTGCAGGAGGGCACAGCCCGGCCTCCCCGCCACGGCGCCCTGCGACTCGCCTTCCCTGCCTGGGTGTAGAGGCAGGGAGGCCGCTCCAGCCCCCATCCTCCCTGCGATTTGTGCAGGGTTCCCCCTGCTTCCCGGGGAGGGGTCAGCAGGGCCGGCCGTCACCCGCTGGAAAGGAGGCGTAGGAGTGCTGGAGACTTGAGGCGGCCCGCACGTGTGGTGGTTAGAGCCTGCGCGGCTCGGAGGCCGCGGCCCTCTCTCCCTGGGGGCCTCTTGTTAACCGAGAGGACCGTGACTCAGGCCGGGGTGGGGTCTCACGCCTGTCATCCCAGCACTTCGGGAGGCCAAGGTGAGTGGATCACCTGAGGTCGGGAGTTCAAGACCAGCCTGGCCAACACAGTGAAACCTCGTCTCTACTAAATATACAAAAATTAGCCAGGCATGGTGCTTGGTGTTTGTAGTCCCAGCTACTCGGGAGGCTGAGGCAGGCGAATCGCTTGAACCCAGGAAATGGAGGTTCCAGTGAGCTGAGATCGAAGCATTGCACTCCAGCCTGGGAGACAGAGCGAAACTCAGTCTCAAACAAATAAAAGGAATGATGACTCAGACCTGGCGTGTCATCCCACACCGCTGTGTTCCCCGGGCAAGAACCATCCTCTTCTGAGCCTCGGTTTCCCCACTGTGGGAAAGGGACCCTCCCAGAACCTTCCTGGAGGGAGGCAGTGAGAAGTGGCCCAGCTCTGCAGGCCCTGCCGATCGCGGGGTGGGGCTTGGTGACTTGTCACTGCTGGCCCACCCAGTCTTGTGACTGTCCCAGCCCCGCTGCCCACCCGTGCTTGGGAAGGGGCGCCCTGGTGCCAGGCCTATGGCTGGGCGGGTCTGACCAGGGCTCGCCCTCTTCCAGGGACCTGGAGCTGCGGCTGGGACAGTGTCTCGTGTGCCGTTTCTCCTGCAGGTGACCCAGAAACCCCCAGGCTTCACAGCCCTCCTCCTATGAGGCTGTCAAGTCCAGTGCCCCGGGGTTCGGGGAGCTTAGGTAGGGGTCTTGGGGGACTAGCAAGGGGCTCGGGGGTCCCGCTGCCGTGGTGCCTCAGCTGTGGAATTTGTGGTTCCATCCCTCAGTCATCCTGGGCCATGGGATCCTTCCTCGTCTCTGGAGCCCGGTGGTTCGAGGCAGTGTTTGTACACGGTTTTCATGGTGCGGTGGAGGCGGGCGCTGCTTAGAAGCCGCGAGCTGTGGAGCGCGGGACCTGCCGCTGGGTCATGCGTATCGTGTAGCCCTCGGCGCTGTGGGCTGGGGGGAAGCTGAGGCCTGGAGGACTTTGGGGACCCAGCCTTTCCCTGGACCCTGAGGGGCAGCCCCTGGTTGGGCCCCACGGCAGGCTGGCTTGTCCTGCCTCGCTTTGCCTGGCCTAGGACCTGGCATGCAGTGGGTTGGTGTCCTGGGCAGGAAGTGAATGGCGTGAAGGTAGGGGTGGGTGTGCCTGAGACCCACCACGTGCCAGGGGTGATTTCTGCCCATTTCCCAGATGAGGAAGGTGAGGCCTGGCCCCATCCCCACCTGGGGTGGTCTCTGCACCTGGAGGGCTGGTTCCCTGCTGGCTGTTCTTCTTCCCGGCCTCTTCCTCATACCCCTGATGGCCCCAGGGTGGGCAGGGCTGACATGGGCAGTTCCCATGGACTGGCCAGCAGTGCCCAGAGCCCAGTCGCGTCCCACCTGCCACCCGTGGGGCCTGGGCCCCAACCAAGCAGCTTGGAGAGGGCAGCGGGGGTCCCGGGAGCCACTAGGGGTGTTGGCGTAGCCTCAGCCTCCCCTGGCCTGTTTCTTTTCTGGGAAGCAGGGCAAGTGGCTACCGTGGCCAGGGGTGGCCTTTGGGGGGTTGTGGCTGTCGTCTTCCCCATGTCCCCAGGGTCACCAAGATGAGGAAACTGGGCGTGGTGGGGGGGGGCAAAAAACAGCAGCATCTGTTCCAGGAGTTGGGAAACTGTTGAACTTTTTTTTTTTTTTTTTTTTTGAGATGGAGTCTCGCTCTCCTGCCCAGGCTGGAATGCAGTGGCCCAGTCTCAGCTCACTGCAACCTCTGCCTCCCGGGTTCAAGTGATTCTCCTGCCTCAGCCTCCCAAGTAACTGGGATTACAGGCATGCGCCACCATGCCCAGCTAATTTTTGTACTTTTTTTTTTTGAGACGGAGTTTCACTCTTGTCCAGGCTGGAGTGCAATGGCCTGATCTGGGCTCACTGCAACCTCTGCCTCCTGGGCTCAAGCCATTCTCTTGCCTCAGCCTTCTGAGTAGCTGGGATTACAGGTGTGCACCACCATGCCTGGTTGATTTTTGTATTTTTAGTAGAGTCGGGGTTTCACCATGTTGGTCAGGCTGGTCTCGAACTCCTCACCTCCTAATCCACCCACCTCGGCCTCCCAGAGTGCTGGGATTGCAGGCATGCATCACTGCGTCCGGCTGTTGAACTTTTAAAATTCAGAAATCGGGGAATTTTTTTCATGGTTTGAGAATAATGTACGTTAGTTGTGCGTTTCATCCCCTCCCAGCAGGGCTGGGGGCTGTGCCTCCCCCGTCACGTTCCTCTCCCAGTGTAAGCCAGAAGGGGATTTAACTGGCACAGGTCCTGAGTAGTCGGGGACCTGCTTCAGGGAAGGCTGGATCCAGGTGTCTCTGCATCAGACCCAGGCCCTCCACTCTGGGGGGGCTCACTGCAGCCCACTGTCCCCCTCCATGGCCTAGGCCTCACCTGCCCTTTGTCATTGAGCACCCCAGGGAGGTGCCAGTCATTGGTGGAGGGCAGGTCACATGCTCATTCATGAACAAACCCTGGCCTGAAGGCTGCAAGCTGCTCTTAGGGGAAGCCGGTGCCAGGGAACCCCAGGGCCTGGGCGCTGAACCTGAGGCTGTGTGCACAGTCCCTGGGCCTCCTACCCAGGACCCCCAGGCTTGTCCCTTGGGGCAGACAGATGCCTCTGATCCCAGCCCCCCAGGGCAGTGGCCTGTCTATGCCTGCAACAGGAAACTGAGGCTCAGGAAGGGCAGGGACTGGCTGGCAGGAGGCAGGGCCCCTTCAAGCTCTGCTGTTCCTTCCCTGTCCCCCAGCAGGGCTCATGTGGGCTGCAGAGGCTCCGAGTAGGCCCCGAAATCATCAGGGATCCTTTCTTGTCCCCAAGCCCGTCGCTGGTGGATGGGAGGGCCCTCTCAGCCACGTGCACTTACGGAGCGCCTGCTGTATGTGGGCGCTGTCTCAGCCATGTGCACTTACCAGGCACCTCTTTTATGTGGGCGCTGTCTCAGCTGTGTGTACTTACTGAGCACCTGTTGTATGTGGGCGCTGTCTCAGCTGTGTGCACTTATGGAGCACCTGTTGTATGTGGGCGCTGTCTCAGCTGTGTGCACTTATGGAGCACCTGTTTTATGTGGGCGCTGTCTCAGCTGTGTGCACTTACTGAGCGCCTGTTTTATGTGGGCGCCATCTCAGCCGTGTGCAGTTACTGAGTGCCTGTTGTATGTGGGGACTGCCTCAGCCCTGTGCACTTAACGGGCGCCTGTTGTATGTGGGCACTGTCTCAGCTGTGTGCACTTAACAGGCGCCTGTTTTATGTGGGCGCTGTCTCAGCCCTGTGCAGTTACTGAGTGCCTGTTGTATGTGGGGGCTGCCTCAGCCCTGTGCACTTAACAGGCGCCTGTTTTATGTGGGCGCTGTCTCAGCCCTGTGCAGTTACTGAGTGCCTGTTGTATGTGTGTTCTCTCTCAGCCATGTGCACTTATGGAGCGCCTGTTGTATGTGGGCACGTGCCAGGCTTAGGGTGGGGGGCCTCATGATGGTTCTTGGGTGGCCTCATTCTGACCTTCCTTCTCTCCTTGCAGGCAAGAGCGGCGAGCGGGGTGCCTATGCCTCCTTTGGGAGAGATGCAGGCGTGGGCGGCCTGACTCAGGTGAGGGGTTTCGTCTGGGCTGGGCGTGTGTTAATTCTAATCAAATCTGTCGCTCCTTGATCTGTAGAAGCTGTGCTGGCTCAGCCAGGTTCTGTTTGCCTCCTGATAGCGGCGACAGCAGACCCGGCCTGGGCCAGAGTGGGCTGGTTGGGTGGGGACCGGGTGGTGGGGGAGGCAGGTAGGACAGGGAGGCTGCCATGCCCGGCTCCAGGGCTCAGATGCCCACACACCCGAGTGGCAGGCAGGAAGACTGCTCTCTGGCGCCCCCTGGCCACCTAGCAGGCCTGCAGTAGCCACACAGGGTGCAGGCTCAGCAGGGGCTGGGCCTGGGGAGAAGGCTCTGCCCTGGACGCTGGGCCACCCCGTGCGGCCACCGGATGATGGAGCAGATGAAACACAGGAGTCAGTGCCAGAACCCGGCCCAGGGCAGCCCTGCTTCTCCAGGAAGAAAGCCGATTTTCACACTAACAAGTTCAGAATTAAACGGAGGGCTTTATGTAACAAAATCAAAAAGACAGGAAGCAGCTGGGTGCCGCACAGAATCCCGGGAGTGGGGTGCGCAGACACCCGGCCACGCAGAATCCGGGGAGCGGGGTGCGCAGACACCCAGCCGCACAGAATCCTGGGAGCGGGGTGCGCAGACACCCGGCCACGCAGAAGGGAGCGGGGTGCGCAGACACCGGCCCACGCAGAATCCGGGGAGCGGGGTGAG